ATTGTCATTGGATAGCCAAATCACATGGTATGATCACATAGTTTTCTTACATGAAAATACAGATTTCTTGACTTATCATAGGAAAAAATTGTCAAAAGAATTATTTAATTGTAAAATATTTTTGCCTAGTTTTAAGGTATTTGCATTTAATATTTATTTACTAACATTTGTTGTTGTTCTCTGCTATTATTGCACTTTTAATTATGATTACGATTTGATTAAAAACTTAAAACTAAAAACGATTGTTCTTTTTCTATGGAATTACCTTATGATACATTTTTTGATAAACATTTTAGAAACCCTCTCTTCACTTCCCTACCATTTTAATTATTAAATTTTGAATAAGTTTAATTTATTTTTATTATAAGCATTGTGAAAAACTATGCCCGTGCAGCACACGTTATTAAAAAATTTTGATACAAAATTGCAAAGCATTACACAAAAATCATTGTTATCGCTATTACTGCATAAAATGTTTGATGAGTATTTTTAGAAACTACAAAAAAATGCGAGTCTGAAAAACAAGTTTGTAAAGGAATTTTTAAGGGTAACCAGAAAAGCATAATTAGAGTTAATATTTATCCATTTTTTTACTGCAATCTCATCATTATTAGTTTGCACGAGATTTAAACAATTTAAATAAATTGAATGACGCAGTAATTGAAATTCATGGAAGTTAATGCAGATACTATCATCAATATATCTGCAACGTAAAAGAATTGCAATTATCTTTATTGTGCAGTAGCTTTTAGAGTAAATTAAAAAAATATTGGTCATAGTTGAACTAAAGTTCGCTCCCGTGGATATATTATTAGTTTGTAAGAGTAAAAAGCAATGCATATTAATATCATTGTCTTATGGGCATAATTTCAAAAGTGATAGAAATTTACCGATACAAAGCTATAATTGCGTAGAGGCAAATTAAACTAAATTAGGAAAAGCTGAAAGTAAAAGTTCAAGGCGCTAGGTAGTAAAACGATTAGCAATATCGAAGGAGCTAATAATGGCAGTACTTAAAGCAGCCGATTTATAACAGTTCGTTGTGTCACTGCAGTGCAAAATACAGCTCGAATTTTTTATACCGAAGCAGAACGTTGAGTCACAGCCATTACGGTGAGTTACGCCGTACACGGCGATCTTCCCTCGAAGCGTGGCCATCCTCGACACGGTTTTCTTGAAGCATTACTCTCCCTTGACCACTACTGCCAACAATCGTGCACAGTTGAACCGGTATCGAATCCCAGCGATGGCTGGTCGATATAAATTCCGCATCCAGCTTGCACTGACCACAGTGCTGGCGAGAAATATCCTCAGTGGTAGATGAATCATGAGTTAGAATCCCCTTGCCGCCTGGTTGACCGTGGGAAGTTCTCGTGATCTTCCTCTCCATTTAACGCAAATGCAGGTTAAAAAACTAAACTCAGCGACACGACAGCCCATAGGGGGCTAAGGCCTACTGTGCCCATCTCAGTTTTCTTGACCTTGGCCTCTGGGGTGCAGGAGCAGATGTTCCGGTCAGGTGGTCAGCCGAACGCGGAACCCCCAGTGTTTAGCTCCCAAGCATGCTTGGGATGGCATGCGGGTTAGTTCCATCAAAAATGTCCACTATGAAGACAAATTTCTACCAATACTCTATTTAGGAGTTCCTGTGTCTTCGGAATTGGGTTCGAATTTGCAAGGCGACGGAGTTGAATATTGGTAGTTGTAAATCCAAAAATTGGATTGACTGTTCAATGACGGTTATAAAATAAAATAAAACCATGCTTAGTGGATACATTTCTTCCTAGTCTTTCTGCAGTTTCGTGAGGGAAAAAAATAACCTTCTCGCAACCTATGACACGAACTCGTTCAAAATCAGTGAGCTGCTGATGATAGCTTCTGTTGATAATTGTTGACTAACAACAACTCACTATGTTAAAATTTAATGAAAAATAACGCTTACGGACTCTAAAACGCGTATTTAAAGCAACCCTGATTTGCATGTTCACAGTAGCGCTACTAGAGCCAAACTTATGCGCCAAGGACAAAATTTGAATAGACATCAAATTTTAAATGTGCAAATTTAGCCCATCTAGCACAGGGGTGTCAAACTCAAAAGCTAACTTGGGCCAAATAAACAATGCTTAACTTTAGGTGGGCCGCAAAAAATAAAATAAAAATTAAAAATATCAGTGTTCATAGAAACATATATTTTTATTTTCAATAGTACTTTGTAATAAACATATATAAAGTAAAATTATTCTTTGATATTTGACATCTCTTCTCTGCTACTATCTTTCCTATTTCAGGAGAAATTTTATTGGCCGAGACTACTTTCAAAATTGGCCCAGCGTGAGCGTTATTAATACGGTTTAAGACAGAAGATTTATTTCCATTCATAACAGAAAATAATTGCTCTCACTGATAAGTACTTCCAAACATGGAAAAAATTTCATTTGCGAATTTTCGAGTATTTTCAAATTTAGCAGGTAAATATTTGTAAAATTCAGGCGCACCCACTTCAATGAAGTTTGCCTTCAAATTTGAGTCGTACTGAACCTCAATCACTTCCATTTGTATATTACTGGGTACCGAGTTCATATTTATTCAGAAAATCGAGGAAAACAAACAAAATTTTTCTTCTAAAGAATTAAAATCTTTAAATCTTGTTTCAAATTCTGTTCCAAGATTATAAATTTTTTCTGCGTATTTTTGATACGATGCAGTTTCCCTGGAATGGCAGGTGCCGCAAGCCAATTAGAATTTCACTTTTTCGAGGGCCGCAAAAATGTTGATCACGGGCGGCATGCGGCCCGCTGGCCGCGAGTTTGACACCCCTGATAGCACAACTCTTTCAAGGTGTTGTGATTTTTTTTTCGTCAGTGCATTTAATACATCAATACAGTTATCCGAAAAAAATTATGTAGTTTCTAAAATTATTTCAATAGGATATGAAATTTAATTTTTTGTAAGTAAAATAACTTCAGATAATCTTGAAGATAATTGTATATAGTTTTAAAAAAATATTATAATTCTATTACTTTTTAAGTAGATTTTTTTATTTTCCTATAAATAATAAAATAAAAATAAATCTCATTCGATTTTCATCGCTGTAAATATTTCGAGACTTTAAAAGGCAATGTTTGTGAAAAAGTTACTTTGAACCTTTTTATTTCAACAAAAATAAAATCTATTTTTTACAAATCTTTTAAGTTTTTTCCTTAAAGCTATGAAAGAAATTTCTAAGATAAATATTTGCTGAGTCCGAATTCAAGTCTATACAAATCTTTACTTGTTAAACATTAAAGACTACGATGCTTGAAAAATAGTACTTAACACATTTTTTTTTTCTTGTCTTCGTTCTTGTTTTCATCTTTAGATTTTACATTATGTCCTTACTTTGGATCACAAAATATCATTCAATTAAAATATTTATTATGCCTTATAATATTTTTTAACATACTTTATTCACCATAAATTAATATGGAATATCTTCAAAATGCACCAAAACATATTTTGATGCACGTAAGCAAACGTGTTGTATAATATCCATATATAATA